GGAAGTTATAGCCAGTATCATTATGAAGGGCAACGTCATCACCCTGTTGCACGAATTCTGAGTAATTCTGTGACTGTAGGAACCTTAAAACCAGATACTTTCTCTCTGGAGCTCAGCATGAAAGTGCCCTAGTGTTTCTGGAACTCTGTCTCACAAACAGCCCCCAAAACACACATCCCAGTGATTCACCATGGAAGGTGATATGGCAGGACACCATGGGCTTGACTAGGGTTTGTGGCTCTGGGTGATAGCTGCATATAAAAGCTCACAGGGGGAAGGGTGTTGTTTAAGGGATACTTGTATGTTTGCTCTGATACAGGATGAAGGATGCAGTTCTGAGCATCCAGCTGGGAACAAGGTAAAGAAGTCTCTAGTATAGATTATCTCCAACAGGAATGCTGCGGCCAGTTCTCTGAGGTCTTGTTAGATTGCAGATCCTAATTCAGGATCCTGAATTGACTGGGGTCTGAGCACTTTCTTTTAGTCTTCTTCTGTTAGCACTAAGGTGCTTCTGCAGCTATTTCATGAACTATCCTTTGAGAAAGGAGTTCCTGAAACATGCAAGCCCATGTTCAGTAGGCCAGTTAACAGTGAAGGGTGCAGAGAGATGGTTCAGTGAGTAAGGACGCTTGTTGCTAAGCCAAATGACCACCTGAGTTTGATCACTGGAAACCACATGGTGAAAGGAGAGCACTGGCTTCCCCAAGTTGCCTTCTGACTTCTACACATGCACTTTGTCTCAAATATGCACACACACACACACACACACACACAATAAATAAATAAATAAATAAATAAATAAATAAATAAATAAATAAATAAATAAATAAAAAAGATGGGCTGAGACTGTAACTCAGTCAGTAGAGTGCTTACTTGGTATGCATGAAGTCCTGTGTTTGATCTCCAGTACCACATATACTGCTGCTGCATACCTGTAGTCCCAGCACTTAGGAGATAGAGGCAGGAGGATCAGAAGTTCAAGGTCATCCTTCAATACATATTGAGTTTGAGACCAACCTAGGCTACCTGAGACTCTGTTTCAAAATAAAATACTAAACAAATAAATGAATGAATGGGTAAAATAGAAGCAAGTTCTTGAGTCTGGCCTGCTCAGGACTGTCAGATGTTACAAACTAGCTTTGTTACTGTTTCCTAGGAAACTGTCTTTGCCTTGCACCCCGTGTGTTTTCTTTTTGTTAATAAAGATACTTGCATAAGAAATATCTCAGGAAACCCTGTAGCAGTGTTTATCCTTGTCGATTTGATGTAAAAAGAAAACTACCGAATTCATTGATTATGTTTATGAATTGTAGGATATAAAAGGAAAGTAGTTAGGAAAGGAACAGCAGTCACAAAACAATTATTCTAATCTTGCATGCAGAGGCCCCATGGGAAGCAGCACAGCTTTGCTGGTAGAAAGCACCTGTGGAGTACAAGTGAGCAATGGTTTTGATTAAATCTGTTGAGTCATAGAATTGAACAAAACAGTGCTTGCTAAACTATGAAGACAGCCAGAGATCACGCAGGCTGACTTTCCTCTCAGTGTCTGAAGCAAGAGAGTAGAAACCTTGATAGGGTAGATGCAGACTGAATGGTTTCTCTCCGGGTGAGTCCCAGGGCCTGGGTTGTTTCTTAAATATCAAGGAAGAGCAGGCCAGTGGAGAGAAAAATATTAAGTACAACTGAACAGGATGCCCAAGTGGGCCGGGGAGCTAGTAGGCTGGTTGGTATAGTGCTTGCTCTGAAAGCATGAGGACCTGAGGTAGAGCCCTAGAATTTTATGTAAAAGTCCAGGTTTGGTAGGGTATATTTGTAATTTCAGTTCTGGGAATCATTGACTAGCCAGCCTAGCCTATTTGGTGAATTCTGGTGTGGGTTATTTACCAGAGAAGACGTCTCAGGCATGGGTTTATGCCAATAAAAAAATCTTCATTAGACAGCAGGAAATTACATTGGGTATTTGGGATCCCAGTGTAGCACTGAGCCTTTCTCATGATGAGCTTTTAAGCACAAAACACATGTTCTGGGTTGACATACTTTAGTTAACAAGAACAGTTAGTCAGAAGCAGAACTACAGAGGCCAAAAAGCACGGTTAGTGCATTTAGAGACTTTCCCTAACTGTGGACTTTGATGGGTTAGGCCTTTGTTTTGGTTTTGGCAGGTGGTGCTGTCTACATGCTGAGTTTTACAGCCTGAGTGGTGCCTCCATCATGGAGTCAGTTGTGCTAAGGTCTCAGGGCCTGCGGACTCTGTGGCCCTGTTACAAACTCTAGGCCAATGAGGTGCTGTCTGAAACAAAATGAAGCAGCAATAACAAAAGCTCAAACCCAAGGTGGATGCCATTTAAGGTATGACAACTGGTCTCCACACACACGTGCACATGCGTGTACACACATACACACACACACACACACACACACACACACACACACACACACACACACATGTCCAGGCATACAGGAGGGAAAGGTGGAACTGCAAACAAGAGCTATCATTTCATGTGGCATGAAAACAACTAGAGCAACCCAGGAGCATCTCAGGACCATAGTGTCTGAGCCCTGGACCCTCAGAGCTGGTAGAGATATCAAGGACACATGTGAGATTCACTGGCCAATCACCTAGAAGACCATTCCAGAGATGTAACCATTATAACTATGAACCATACTAGAAATGGCACCAGAATGAACTTATTTGTCGGAGTAATGATGCATGGGTAGGCAAAATGAGATGCGACTCACGGCAAGATCAAAACAGAGATTCCTAAGTTGGGGGAGGGGCTCATCCTGGGTGACCTGAGTGGGCACAGTTACCATGGAGATCCACACCCGTCTGTCCTCAAACTTTCTGTACCTCTCCTCCCCACAGCTTGCTTCCACAAAGATTTAGCTGGAGATCCCTGGCTGGGCCTAAATGATCCAGGGGTCCAGTGAACTACATTTTGGCCTGAGATACTGAATTAGCCATGGATTTGGGGGTTTTATGAAGCCTCAGTTGTACATGTCTATCCTCTGAGGCACACTGCCATCATCTTCATAACTTTAGCAGTGCCTGCTTAAAAAAAGATCGTCATATTTACTATGTTAGTCCTGCCTATCCATGAGCATGGGAGATCTTTCCATTTTCTGACATCTTCTTGAATTTCTTTTTTCAGGGACTTAAAGTTCTTGTCATATAGGTCCTTCACTTGCTTGGTTAGTGTTACCCCAAGGTATTTTATGTCATTTGTGGCTATTGTAAAGGGTGATGTATCTCTGATTTCCTTCTCAGCTTCTTTGTCAATTGTATATAGGAGGGCTACTGATTTTTTTGAGTTGATCTTGTATCCTGCTATGTTGCTGAAGGTGTTTATAAGCTGTATCAGTTCCTTGGATACAGCTGGAATCTTTGGGGTCACTCAAGTATACTATCATGTCATCTGCAAATAGGGAAAGCTTGACTTCTTCCTTTCCAATTTGTATCCCCTTAATCTCCTTATGTTGTCTTATTGCTCTGGCTAGAACTTCAAGTACTATATTGAATAAGTATGAGGAGAGCGGACAAAATGGCTGAGGGGTCACCAACTGGATCAGGCCCTCTGAATGGGTGAGACAATTGATTGGCTTGATCTGTTTGGGAGGCATCCAGGCAGTGGGACCGGGTCCTGTGCTCATTGCATGAGTTGGCTGTTTGAAACCTGAGGCCTATGCAGGATCGCTTGGCTCGGCCTGGGAGGAGGGGACTGGACCTACCTGGACTGAGTCTACCAGGTTGATCTCAGTCTGCAGGGGAGGCTTTGCCCTGGAGGAGGTGGGAATGGAGGGTGGGCTGGGGGGAAGGTGAGGGGGGCCGGCGGGGGGCCGGAGGGGGGGAGAACAAGGGAATCCATGGCTGATATGTAGAACTGAATTGTATTGCAAAAAAAAAAAAAAAAAAGATCGTCTTAGCTGGGCTTGGGCTTGTTAGCTGCTGACATTCTGTCACAGAAAAATGGACAAAGAGAGTTGTGAGACTCTCACCTGAGTAAACAGCCATTCCTTCCATCCAGTTGTATGAAATTTTGTTTTAATTTTACATGGCCTGGGGGAGGGGATAGAGTATATAAGCTGAGGGAAGAGTAGGGTAAGGGGAAGAGCTATCATCCATGCTGGATTCAGACCTCCCAGTGTGGCTGCTTTATGCTCACCTAAAGAAAAGAGGTCAGTAATTTCTCACCCACACCCTGTAAGTAATTCTAATAAACGCCTTGTTTCTCCAGGGTGAGTTTTAGTGGATGTGAACTTCAGTTTGTCATTAGGACCTTGTGAAGAGGGGCATAGGTGGTGTTTAATCTCCTGAAGGGAGAAAATTCTCCCAACACTCTCCCATGGGCATTTGAACTTTAAAGTAGATTAAAATAGAGGTTCCTCTGCTGATCCCAAAACCAAGTGGCAAGCAGTACACATATAACATGTGCAGTGTACCCAGGTCCTGATGGGAGAAATGACATTCATCCTTGGAGATTTCACCCTTTTCAGGAGCCTCATGAGGCCCTGATTGGCTTTGTGCTAGGTACAAAAATGGCAAATTTTGGTGCCTGTGGAAGTTCTGGGAAAATGTAGGTACTCACCAGATGAAAAGAGAAGATACTGGGAAGAATGTGGGGTTCAGCATCCCCAGATAATGTTGACTGGATGTCCCCCCCACTTTTCCCAACCATTAAAGACACTAAAGGCACATAGAATGTGCTCCTGTGATTCCCTGAACAGAATGAAGGTCGTGCGATGCTAGCGAGGGCGTTTTGGAACCTTTGTTAGTTATTTTTATCGTTGCTCTGACAAAATACTTGACAAAACAAGGAAGGAAGGGCTTATTTCTGCCTGCACTCTGAGAGCCTAGTTCATCACAGCAGCAAAGATAGAAGACCCCCTCCCCACTGACACACACTCAGGAGCTCACACATTGTTGATTTTAGTTTTCAACTGGGCCCTTATGTGTACCCAGCCATCAGCAGTAGGAACAGCATGTTTCTACCTTGGTTTATTAGGAGTAGACAATACATATGGACCCCCAATTATGTAAATAAACATGGAGATCAAAACAAAACACTTGAAGGCCATTTAGATTGTATTCTTCTCCAACAGCATGGGCTTGCCAATTTGCTTTCCCATTTCATTCCAACCCTCCTGTATCAGCAGTCAGAAATGGCTTTTATGGATGGTAAAACCCATCTGGTATATGCATTATGTCATTTGGTTGTGAAGAGTGATTTGTAGACACATTCAGATGGAGACCTTGACCTAGAGAAGACCCCATTTAGCTTTCCATTAATATATCTCCCCCCAGAACAGTTATGAGCCCAACAAACATCTCACTAAACCTGCCTCACTTCATTATTTAGACACAGTCAACTTCATTCAGGTATTACATCTGGGGTAAAAAGACTCTTCCTATTTGTTTCTTTTATTTTCTTCTTTTTTTTCCTTTTTGGTTTTTGTAACTTCATCAGACATGTGCACACACAGACACACACACACATGTTCATGTGCACTTGCCCACCATTCTGGGACAGCAGTGTGGCAGGTTGACTGTCCTGGGGAATGCATCTTCCCAGTGCCTTGTCTTGTTAAGGGGGTCTTTGTCACTAGGGAAACAGCCTGGCTTTCATACTTAAAGAGATTATGAAGCAACATCTCAAGAAAGAGAAAATAACCAGAAACTGTTGGGTTTTGTTGTTTTGTTTTGCTGATGTAGGCCATGGAATGTCTTCAACAGAATCAATTCTGAGGCTTGTTACAAATTCGAATGGCTGGAACACAAGAGGGACTCAGTTAGCTACCAAAGGTACAGCCTGGGAAACTGACTGATGACAAGTGGAGTGGGTTATTCTGACTTGCTCAGGTGTGAGAATAAACTACTGCAGCCTGGCAGGAGGTGGAGAGTCCATGGGGTCCTGGATGCTGGCCAGAGCTGGAGAACACAAGCCACCAACAACTGCCAACCCCAGCCAGCCCTCCCACTTGCAGAGTTCAGACGTGACTCTAGTCCTTTTCCCCACAACCAAACACTATGCAGTAGAAAGAAGGGCAACACTCAATGCTTTTTGTCTAGCCCAACTTTTCCCTTTAAAATGATTTTAATGACATACCAGGAAACAAACGTATTCTTTTGTTTAATTAAACATAGATAAGGGGCCAGCGAGATGGCTCAGTAGATAAAATACTTACCTAATCCTCAGTTCTATCCTGGAACCACAAAAAGAAAGGAGAGAATGACTTTTATGAGTTCTTCTCTAACCTCTACACATGCACCATGGTGTCACACACACACACACACACACACACACACACACACACACACACACACACCCCTCAATGAATAGATATATAAATGTGCTTTTTTAAAGCCTGAAGTCCCCTTCATTTCCATTTTCAGCCCCAGTTGATCGCTGTGATGTGACTGTTTCCTCCGGGTTGAGCATGACCGTGGTTATCTTGAAGTACAGCAGCTGAGATGACTCTAACAAGAGTCTCTCATGAGATCGGGCCTATCATGATTTCCTTGTGGAGGAGGAAGGTGGCACATAGAACCTCACTGGGCCTTTCCCTTCCATGAGATTGAACTCATCACTGTAGAGGAGGTAAGTGACTGACTGGAGGTCCCTCCTGGTGGTGCCTGTGCTCCATATGTAGCCTTCATAAACTGACTGGTTTGTTGGTTCTTTCTTCCTCTCCCCTTTCTCCAGATGTCCCCCTTGAAATAACAGTCCCTTAGATATTACACTTTTGCAGGATGTATACATTTCTATATGTGTAAGTGAACTGTATTAATTATTTTTCTGTTGCTGTGATAAAACACCATGACCAAAAGCAACTTACGAAAGAAAGAAGGAGTTTAATTTGGCTTGTGGTCCTAGATAGAGTACATAATAGTGGGGAAGCATCGCAGCCATGGAACAGGAAACATAGCCATGGAGGTGGGAGCAGGAAGCTGAGAACTCACATCTTGAACCACTAGCATGAAGCAGAGCAAACTGGAGTGGCATGAAGCTTTTAACCTCAAAGCCCACCCCCAGTGATGTACTTCCTCCAGTGAGGCCATACCTACTACCCCACCCCCCCACACTCAGCACCACCAACTGGGAACCACATATTCAAGTATGTGAGCCTATAGGGGACATTCTCATTCATTCCACTCCATGAACCTAAAGAGCAGGTGTAGTGCTGGTGGATACTTGGTGGCTAGGGGCATTTTGCTATGACGTGCTCATTAACATGGACAGGTCCAGATGCCTTCTTAGGGATGACTGTTGCCAAGACAGTTAGCAAGGGAAAATAGGGCTATGGTGGTTAGTATTGTCTATCAAATTGATAAAATTTCTGGGTATGTCTGTGAGGGAGTTTCTAGATGGAGTTAATTGAGGTGGGAAGAACCACTCTAAGCATAGGTATCACAGTTCCATGGCTTGGGGTGCCCTGGCTGCAGACTGGATCTTCAGGGGTAGTGTGAAGTCCAGCATCATAGAAGGCTGCCTGTAACTGGAGAATACAGATAGGCCATAGTCAGTTGGAAAACACTTTAGGGCTCCCAGCAATTCAGCTTGCCCAGATTGTTGTAGATTATTATTATTATTATTATTATTATTATTATTATTATTATTATTGTTGTTGTTGGTTTTTCGAGAAAGGGTTTCTCTGTGTAGTTTTGGTGCCTGTCCTGGATCTTGCTCTGCAGACCAGACTGGCCTTGAACTCACAGAGATCCACCTGGCTCTGCCTCCTGAGTGCTGGGATTAAAGGTGTGCGCCACCACCGCCTGGTGTAGAATATTATTTTAAGATTTGTTACATTTTATACTATGGAACATTTGTTTTAATGATGCGAAGTTGTTGCACTCTTTTATGCTGCATTTGTTTAACTCTGTGAAGCTGTGCTACTTTGCCTATCTAAAATAACTGATTGTCTAATAAAGGGCTGAATGGCCAATAGCAAGACAGGAGAAAGGATAGGTGGGGCTGGCAGGCAGAAAGAATAAATAAAAGAAGAAATCTTGGAGGAGAAGAGGAAGAAAGAACAAGAGAACAAGGAGAGGAGAAAAGAAGGGGTAAGTAAGAAGAAGCTCGGAGGCAAAAGGTAGATGGGATAATTTAAGAAAAGCTGGCAGGAAACTAACCAAGCTAAGGCCAGGCATTTATAATTAAGAATAAGCCTCCGTATGTGATTTATTTGGGAACTGAGTGGTGGACCCCTCAAAGAGTAAAAACAACCAGCAACACAGGCTGCACTCCAAAACTGGATAATCACATCAATAAACAGTCCAACACCTCCCACCCCAACCATCAGCATTGCTTGTGGGCTCCTTAGGAGACTATAGAAGACATGCACTTCAAAACTGAATGAAATGATCAGGAAAGAGAATGGGGCGGTGCCATCTAACAGCTCAGTATGTTGTTCTGCTTCGGGCGGGCAAGGCAATGGGAGATGGTTGGAAGAACATCTCATGGGAGATGGTTGGAAGAACATCTCCAGGAAGACAGACGTTGACCAAGTTGTGAAAGCAGGAAACACAGCTTCCTGATGCAAAGCACTGGCTGAAGAACATTTCAGTTCTGAAGGCACTAAGAGCACTCCCTTCTCATTTACTTCATGCCATATGAGCATGTAAGCTGCTCATGGGAATTCATTATGGGCCCATGTGTGTTACTCACCACATACAAACATGGGAAGATCGACATGCCTACGCAAGATATATAAGGCTAATGTAGCTGAGTAAAGAGCTCATGCATGCTTTAAAAATACATTGTACATTTAAATAAATATGATCTATGACAGTGAACACAGCTCTAACATACGAAAGCTAGTGACTTCCCAGTGATAATTAACCTCTCCATTGCAATGCACATGATGGTGGCATTTATCACAGTTCATATATCCCAACAATTTTTGTAGACTTCTCTCTCACTCACCAGACTGCAGAATTTTAGACGATAATGTTTATAAAGTTATTTTGCATCTGATTATTTTTACAACATCTGGCCTTGGGCTTTGTGTGCCTGGGAAATAATGATTACATGAAGCAGACTGAAAACCAGCAAATTCTTGTCAGCACAAAGTCAGTGTCGTACTAAGAGCCCATGTTATTCATTGAAGGTATACTTGATTTGAGTATTTTCTACTCTGGGGCTGTGCTAGAGATGGTCATCCCTGTCCTTTGAGATTGCCTAGAGTCTACCCAGACTACAGCCCAAGTAGTGACTCATGAGAACAAGAAATGGCTGCTTTTGCCTGTCCTCTGAACTCGACGTGGGGGTGGGTGGAGACTTTCTTAGATTAAGTTTTCTTTCTGGAAAAGCTGGCACCACTCACTCCTTCAATGTTCAGGACACAGTCAAGAACTTAAGAGTTTGCCTAAGCATTCAGTCGAAAGTCTGGGACTCAATACAGACTACAACTTGACATGAGGCAGCCTTAAAAGACACTTCAGGGATCCCTCTGGATGAGAGAACAGCAGGCCCTTTGAGTCTAGCTTTTGACTTTTGATAGGACAAGAAAAATCTAGACAGAAAAGAGAAGTTATAGTTAGCCCCCATTCAGAGCCATTTAAATTAAACACATGGACTTTTATGAGTTTTACCAGTTTCTACACTGCCTGCCACAGGCTGTTATCTGCCCAAGGTAGTTAGCGCTTCTCTGTTGCAGAGCCTTCCAGGGCCAGTAAGGGGTTTAACCGATGAGCCAAGGGAATACCTTGGAACACACAAAGGACAGGCCTGGAACTATTATCTAGGAGAGCTATCTGTCCTGTGACTGCCTGCCTTGGACAAGATTTAGATAATGCTTTCTTTCTGTAATGTTTCCTGTGTATTTGGGACAACTACAGCACATAAGCACACACTTAGCTGCACAGCATGAGGACCAGAGTTTGGATCTCTAGCACCCAAATAAAACACAAGGCATGGTGGCACATGTTTATAACCCCAGCTTTGGGAGTAGGGAAAGCAGAGACAAATGAATCTTGAGTGCTCACTGGTCAACTCATCTAGCTGAAGTGGAGAGCCCAAGGTTCAATAACAGACCTTGTCTCAAAAGGTTAAGATGGAGAGCGATAGAGGGTGACATCCTATTCTAATCTCTGGTCTCCACACATGCACACACACACACACACACACACACACACACACACACACACACACACATCCAAATACCTTGAATCAAGTTTTCTGAATCCTTATTCTCATCTTCGTTTCTGTTGTCTTTGTCTTCTTTTTTTCTGCATCATGCCATCTGCTGTCATTGTGTAGGGCAGCCTTTCATTACTGTAGTGGAGTGCCTGAGATAACCAAGTTATAAAGAGTAAAGGTTTATTTTGGCTCATGGTTTCAGTCCATGATTACTTGTCTGTGTTGTTTTGGGACAAATGGCAAGGCAGTTCACCACAGCAGGTAGTGTATGTTGGAACAAGCTATCCATCTCATTGTTTCCAGGAAGCTGAGAGGCTGGAGGAGGAAGAGACTAGGTTTCCATAATCCTCTTTGACAAGCACATCCCAAGTGACCCAGCTTTCTTCTACTAAACCTCACCTCCCCATTGCTCCATAGGCTGGAGACCCACCCTTTAATGCCCAGGCCTTTGGGGGACACTAATTCAAACCATTACAATCATTATTAGCAAATATTCCCTGAAGTTTGAATGGCCAAGAGTCTGTCCTCTTCATGAGATAGAAGGGGTGCTTAGGGTGAGGCATAAATATCTGTTGAACTTCATGATGATGAGGTTGCATTTACAACTGGGTTTTCTGGAGCTTTCCTCAATGAAACAATTTTCTAGAGCTTCTTTCTATAGCCCCATTTGAATCTGCTGTATTTTCAGTCTGGGCACATTCATCTGTTATTCACTCATGGCCAGTAAAATACAGCAGTTGGGGCCTGAGGAGGTGGCTTGGTTGCTAAGGTGATTGATACATGAGCATGAGGACCTACGTTCAATCCTTAGGACTCCTTTAAAAAGTCTAGCATGGTGGTGTACACTTGTAATCTCAGTGCTGGGGAGATGGAGACAGGCAGGTCCTTTGAGTATCATTTATCAGTGAGCCTAAGCTAATCAGTGACCCCTAGATCCCTGTTAGAGTACTAGTATCAAAACAACAAAATAACAACAGCTTTTGAAGAATACCAGAGCTACACACACACACACACACACACACACACACACACACACACACACACACACACACACGAACAGGTTTTCCATGGAATAAAGCAGATCTGGATAGAAATTTCATCCCTATTGCTTATTGGCTTTGCCAGTATTGGTAGTTATCTATAACCTTTACCAGATTTTTTTTGGCAAGATGTAAATTTTCTTCTCTGGAAAGTTCCCAGTACACTTGTGAACCACTAGTGCCGAGAGTTTCATACTGGCTTCTACTGCATGGATTATGGCTTAGGGAGCGCAGGCACAGGTGGAAACAGGCGCATAAACAGGTAGCTTTTGTGTTATAGCTGGCGTTTCTTCTTGTGTGAGTGACTCACTGGAATTTCAAGGGTGGAATAACCTGGGATATCTGAAGTCCCAGAGGCCAAAGCAGGACTTACCAGAGAAGACACCAGACCGTGGAACTCAGTCTCTTCCTGAAGCCCTGGCATACAATAGCTCTGAACAGTGTGGTTACAACGCCCCTTTCCTGACAGAGCTGTCACTGTGCAGCTTAATTTATTTCAGTGACAGCCTAATGCTACTAAAGATTTTATGAAACTTAAGCTTTTCAAATGTCATTTTTGTTATTCTAGCTAAGCCGAGAGAGGGAGGCCTGAGGGTTTTTATTTAAGGAGAAAAAGGAGAGACAGAAGGTCAGGAACTCAACAATTCTCTGCTAGGACAGCTGGTGCCTTGCAGTTGCTGTAGCTGAGAAAGAGAAGCGAGCAAGAAGTGGCGGGATTCAGATCTTGGGGTGAATCTGTGAGTTACAAACTGGCCTGATGGCTGCGTTTTCTGTGCTAGCGTGATAAAGATGGCATGGTCGCTGGTGGTGCTGATCCACACTGGAGCCAAAATCAACCCTTCAGCCTCCACACTGCACTTCTCTGAGCCGGCAGCCCAGGGAGCAAGCCTCAGACCCACAGTGCTGCAGTAATTTCGACTGTCGCGCGCCCCCTCACGCAGTACCCACACACTACTCTGCGTGTTCCCGGGGGAGCTGCCCGTGGTGCTGAATTTTTCCCTTTGTCTGAGGGGACCTGGGGCCACAGCGCGTTCAAAAGGCTCAAACGGTCCGCTGCAGGGCCACAGCCCTAAGATCCCTGACCAGCGGCAGGCTCAGCATAGCAAAACCATACTAGACTCTCCATCCCACTCTAGCGACTCTGGCAACTGCAGTTGGAGGTCTGCAGGATCTGAAGCTGGCCTGTCCGGTCTTTCTTTCATTCCCTAGTGAACCTAGATTTCTCTATCCCCACATTCTCTCCGGTCCTTTGCCTCTTGAAACTGCATCTGGTGGTCCCCACAACTTGGCTCTTCCCACACCTCCTCTGCCCTCCCTTGGGACACGCCCCCTCTGGAACAGCTTCTCGGGGCCACTGCACACTTCCACAGTGGAGATCACCCCTGGAGCCTGAGGCCCAGGTTCCTGGCCCCGCCCCCTTTCTGGCTCCATCCCTACTACACACGCTGCCCCCTTTCTCTAAGCACAGAGTTGGACTGCATGCTCCACCCCCATCTTCCATAAAAGGGAGAGCTGGAGTGGGGGAAGAGGTGGAGAGGAGGAGCTCCCAGACCCTTCAAAAGCTGCTGGCCCACTAGGAACTCCTGGATTCGTTAGTAGAAGAGAGCAACCCGAGTGAGAGTCCATCTGGGCTGAGGACCCCCGAGGGATAGCAGGCGGTCTGCGCCTGCCTTTGAGAGTCCTTTCCCGCCAGCCAAGCCTCCTAGCAGGTAGGACCAGCTCTCAGGTCTGCCTTCCTGGACTGCGAGAGCTATCCACGAATAGGAGCTGTTTAAAGCACCTGTGCTAGGTTTATTTTATAGAGCAGGAAGGACAGCATTTATTGCGTTTGATGTTCTGGGGCTAGCTATGCCAAAGAGAGGAGTTGGGTGATGGAGGGAGGGTATATGAGGGATGGATCAAAGATGGAAAGTGACAACTTTGATTACCTTTGGACAGGTGGCCATGACCTCACTGCCCCCTGGAACCTCTGGGGACTCTGATTTGTTTTCTGGGCTGCCCCCAGCCGGTTCCACTTCAGCCAACCAGAGCGCAGAGACCTCTGAGGGCAACGGGTCGGTCACGGTTCCCCGCGCTGCAGCAGTCACGCCCTTCCAGAGCCTGCAGTTGGTGCACCAGCTAAAGGGGCTGATCGTGATGCTGTACAGCATTGTGGTGGTCGTGGGGCTGGTGGGCAATTGCCTGCTTGTGCTGGTGATCGCGCGCGTGCGCAAGCTGCACAACGTGACCAACTTCCTCATCGGCAACCTGGCTTTGTCCGACGTGCTCATGTGCGCCGCCTGCGTGCCGCTCACTCTGGCCTATGCCTTTGAGCCTCGCGGCTGGGTGTTCGGTGGAGGCCTGTGCCACCTGGTTTTCTTCCTGCAGCCGGTCACTGTCTACGTATCGGTGTTCACACTCACCACAATTGCCTTGGACCGCTACGTCGTTCTGGTGCACCCGCTGCGTCGACGCATCTCACTGAGGCTCAGTGCCTACGCGGTGCTGGGCATCTGGGCGCTATCCGCAGTGCTGGCGCTGCCGGCCGCGGTGCACACCTACCATGTAGAGCTGAAGCCCCACGACGTACGCCTCTGCGAGGAGTTCTGGGGCTCGCAGGAGCGACAGCGGCAGCTCTATGCCTGGGGGCTGCTGTTGGGCACCTATTTGCTCCCCCTGCTGGCCATCCTCCTGTCCTACGTCCGAGTGTCGGTGAAGCTGCGGAATCGCGTGGTTCCTGGAAGCGTGACCCAGAGCCAAGCTGACTGGGACCGAGCGCGTCGCCGCCGCACTTTCTGCCTGCTGGTGGTGGTGGTGGTGGTGTTCGCCGTCTGCTGGCTACCGCTGCACATCTTCAACCTGCTTCGGGACCTGGACCCGCATGCCATCGACCCCTACGCTTTCGGGCTGGTGCAGCTTCTCTGCCACTGGCTCGCCATGAGCTCCGCCTGCTACAACCCCTTCATCTATGCCTGGCTGCACGACAGCTTCCGAGAGGAGCTGCGCAAGATGCTGCTCTCCTGGCCTCGAAAGACTGTGCCCCATGGCCAGAGCATGGCGGTCAGCGTGGTCATCTGATGTCAGCCTGCCAGACCTGAGCTTGGGAGCTTCATTTCATGTCCCTTAGTCCCACATGAGACCCAATTCCCAGCACAGTGAGAAATTCCCATCCAGTCCTCTTGTCTGGCTGTCTGTCTGGTTTTTGTGTTTCTGTAAAATGTTAGGTGGGCTTTGGGGTAGAAGAGCTTGGGGAGAGAGAAGCAGATTTATCAGTTCTTCCTCTGACCCCTGAAAGCAAAACACAGCTCTTTCTCTGGGTCCAGAAAAATAATTCAGAAGCAAGTTTTTCTTTTTTTTCCCTCCACACTTACACTGTGGGTGGGATTTAAATGTGGTGCTGGGGTTGGTGAAGATTTTCAGCTTATCTTTTTAAAAGACCCCAGCTGAGATATAATGACTCATTGTTTTGTCAACCTGAGCCTTGGAGTCTCTATTATTTCAGATAAATATGTATCCCAAATCAATATCTAGGATTTCAACATTTCCTGAATAAGACCTTTACGCTCCAAAAAGATTTTCACTTTAAAACCATTTGAATTTATAGTACAAATCCAGTTTCAAGTACCTTTCAGGAGGTGTTGCTTTTGTCTCCTTCTAACTCCTCAGCTACTATTGAAAGGATGAAGTAAGCAGGTCAGCTGGTAGAGAGCTTACCTATCCCCGAGTTCAGTTGCTGCAAAACAGGGTATGACAATGTATGCCTGCAAGCCCAGAACTCAGGAGATGGAGGAAGAAGGGTCAGGAGTTCATGGTCATCCTGGGCTACATAGTGAATTTGAAGCCAGCCTGGGCTACATGAGAGGAATTAATCACTGAAGGGATAGGCAAAAGGGGAAAGATGTGATTCCCTTAAGGACATGTGTACCTGTCCATGAGGATAGACATTGTGTGTGTGTGTGTGTGTGTGTGTGTGTGTGTGTGTGTGTGTGTGTGTGTGTAATGTTTACCACAAGACAGAAGCTCAAATGTTTGGCTTTGTGAATGTTCAGTGCAAGCTGTGTGGCACAGCATTCTCCTGCAGTCTCTAATTGCTGAATTTCAACAGATCAACAGCTGCCATCTGACTTCTCAGCACCTGCTCCCTGGAGACTCTTGCAACATATCAGCCCAGAAGCCAAGGGCTGGAAAAAGATTACTTAAGGACAGCACAGAAAAATAAACTTCCATCCACAAGATGCATAGTTCAAATGCTGATCCCTTTCAGGGTTGTGGGAGCAGATGAAAATTGTTGTGCATGAACCTGGGCTGGTAATCAGCACATTAACCTCCCAAGAGTTCTGTTAAAGAGGAATGTGCCTGGGACAAGGGCCTCCGTAATGGATGCTGAAACAGTCACTGGGGTGGTGAGAGAAGGAGCTTTTGGAAAGGATACATAGAATCCTGCTATTAACCCAGGCCCTGTGAAATGTATGGTAGGACATAGCGTCTGTAGAAAATCTGTGAGGTTCTAGTGCTTCTCCAGCAAGGTTTCCCCTTATCTTCTATTACTTTTGGAAAGAGACTAGCTCATTTATCAGAGTGCTGTACAAGAGGAGGTGTGCTATTAAAATGACAAGGGTTAAATGACTAGGCTCACACCTACAGCAAGAATATTTGCTACTGGGCTAGGCAGTTCTAGAAGTCTTAAGTAACTCCTGGGTTACATTCCATAGACTGGGCAAATGATGTTAGGAGAAAAGTTGAAGCAGATTAAGATGGGAGATGGTAAGTACCTCTGGCAGTAACACCTAACTGACTTTGAGCTTCATCTAGAGACTAGAGCTTGGAGAACCTATCTGCTAATGATGCAGCTCACCTCCACATGTAATATTACAAACAACGATTGTATTTGTTAGGCAGCCCAGAGATGGGCTTTTGTGCTTCCTGTTGAGGCTCAAAGCCAGAGCATGCTTTTGATGGACACTTATGGAGAGAACAGGAAATGGGGGGAGAAGTGGGATTAGTTAGGGAGAGGTGTAGTTGATTCTGTTCTTTTTGTTGACATTGCTGGTTCTCAGCCATGGCTGCTCTTAGAATCCCCCAGGGATTTTAGAAATCCAGACCAAACTAAACAAAATACATTGATGCCTAATCCCCGTCAACACCCCTCTCCCCAAAATCTGATTGACTCGAGACGGGGCCTGAGAGTCTGCATTTTTCAAAACACTTCTGGAGACTTTAATGTGCAGCCTAAGTACAGTACCTTAAGGATGGCCATTTTCTAGTGCTGCTCAGAAATGCCTTTGTGAGTCTTCATTTGTACCTACTGAAATTGTTAAGAATCTGGACTTGAATTTGACAGTGAGTTACTCACCACAGTTGAGGAATACTCTGTCAGTCTTCAACAGTGCCTCATCTATCCATTTTAGAGGACAATCCTCATGATTAGAATATTTGGGCATTCATTCAGCAGTTTCTTCAATCAGTTCCTATGTAGTTGAACTGCATTATAAAGTTACCCATCATGAACTATTCTAAGACTTCGTTGTCAAAGTGATTAAAAAAATTAAAATGTTTCCTGATTAGTTTAAGGCCACACCAACTGTGGGAAGAAAGATTGCCACCAGTTTGTCATGCAGTGACTTAAGTTAAAAATTTAAACATTTGTATAGGTTTTCTGGGGAACCTAAAGAGGGTGGTGAATTAGGCTGTGCTTATAAGTATCTTTGCAAATTGTGAAATTGGCAGCTGAACAACAACAAATTAATTGCTACCCGATGTGACATCTATTTAGAAGCAGTTTGCCAAACTGGCTTGCAAAAAAATCTCTCAGAGATGGGCTTCAGGGAAATCTGCATAGGCTTATACGTAGAAATGGAATTTAATAATTCGTTTTTGGTTAGTATCAAGTGCCTAAGACGAGTAAGCAGGTCTGCTCCTGCAGGAAGTGAGTCAAGAACAAAGCTGGGAACTGAGCCAGCTTGGAACTCGGCAGCAGCCTTCCTTCCCAATCCGTTTTGCAAGCATTGTCAGCAGGCCTCACTTCTGGCATGCCATCAATAGATTTATCTCACCAAATTGACAGAGGAGTATTTCAATATGTGTTGGCAATAGGGACCCAGGAGCAGCAGCCATAGGAGACAGAGAAGTAACAATATTCCAATTGATGTAACCTTTTCGAGCTTCTGCCCTGATGGATGTTCAGGCTGCTCTTTTTACCAGGGCAGCTCATTTTCAGGTTTATTTTCTCTGTGAACTAATCAACCACCTTTGGTTTGTATTCTTGAACATCCAATAGTGTTTTAGATGCAAGGCCAGGAACTGACCTCAAGGGCACCCAGGTAAGAGCATAACTTGATGGGGAGTGGACATAATGTCCATCCCTCAGAGAGAGAGGTTAGGAGTGCCTGTGTTCCCCAAGGCATGTCTGTAATGGATTTATGACCACACATTGATTTCTTTACTATATGTGTAAGATGTCTTTGTTGCTGAGTCAGTGTGGAGGTTCCTCAGGCTGGGGCTTGTAGTGTGTTTGACATAATAAATATTACATTGGTTGCACAGTCTCCAGCTGTGGGATTAATGCATCTATCCAGGGTCACTCCTAGAAAAAACTTAGTGCCCAACCTAGATTTCATTACCTTCACTAATTCCAGAGATGAACTGTTCATGCTGGCTTTTCTGTGACCCTCTATCCCCAATTTGCATGATGCTAGCATTTTAGCCTATGGTATTAAGGTCTTCCCAAGGGCAGGGGCCTAAATCCACAAGTCCATCAAATAAAAGTAAAGTGGAGTATTTCATGCTGAGTTTCTATGCTGTCATGAATGTAGATAAATATCTAATGGTCAGCATTTTATCAACCTTTCCCACATATAGCTTGGAAAATTCTAAAACCATATAATACATGGGCCAATAAATAAGATGAGGAACATTTTAAAACATTAATGACAGAGTCATAAGCTATTTTTTGCTGAATATAGATTATCATTTTAAAATGGATTTATGGATGGCTAGTTGTTGCACAAATCCTAGATGGTCTTACCATAAAAAACCCAGAGCCAGATACTGGGGTAAATGC